CCCCCTGAAATATTCTTTTCCTCTCGTTGTTGGAGTCGGCGTACACCCTCCGCGGGGCCGTGCGAGCCGCGGCGCATTGCGACACACTCCCCTTTCTCTCCAAGCTGGAGCAAGACAGTAGCGGTAGTGTCTCACGAAAGCCAGAGGAAACCAAAGCAAAGCCTCGCCGTGACTGATTCTCTTTCCAAATGGCGTAAGCAGGCCAACTTCAAACATGTGAATAATGAGTTATCTGTGCCTCACTTTGTTCGGCAGCAGAAGAGAAGGTTCCTGCTAACATTTTCCTCCTGCTCCCTCCTGTGAACTTCTGGGCTTCAGCTTTCAGAAGCGGGCTGAAGTAGAGCTGGTGCTTGCCGGCTGCTGCCTCTCACCGGGGCTCGGTGGAGATCCCCATTGTCCTCCATGGAGGCGGTGTGTTTGAGTCCCTTTCTGCCACGGGCAGCCAGCTCCCGTCTCCACACTGTCCTCCGCTGGCTGTGGGGCTCCACCAGATTCTTCTTGGCCGGGGATTTCCCATGGCGAGTCTCGGGCTGGAGATGGGTTTCCAGGGAAGACCTGAGGGATGTTCGTATCTTGTGTTATAGGTGTACAGAGATGAAACCACCCCCCCATCTGCCGCAAGGGACAGGCCTGCTGTTCCCATAACACAGGCGTTTCACATGTGGCTTGTTTCTGGAGCATGTGCTGGGACTTGATAGTCAAGCCGAGACTGGGAAAAAATTCAGCCCTCTGTAGAGGATTGGTGTGTCTCTGAAGCACCTATTTTGAGGGCTACAAGTGGGATTTGAAAGGTGTTTTGTGTGCAGAATGGAGTTCTGTTCGCTGCCGATTGCTTTCTTGTGGTCCATTCTCATGGACATGTAGAGACTAAGGCACTGGATTATGTGCAGTGCGGCTGCACGACTGCTCCCGGCGAGCTCCTTGCCTGGGCTGTGGCATTTGGCTGTTGATGTTCGAGCAGAGCCTTTGGTGCAGGGTGGTGAGGGCTCGTTGGTGAGATGCTTGGAGCCTTGCTTCAAAGGTGGACGCGTGGGGTCTCTGTGGCCACTGACGGCTCTGCTCGAGCTGCTGCCGTCTCCCGGCTCTGGCCGCCTCTTCAGTGGAGCTAAGGAAATGATCTGCAAATGTGTGTGTTAATGGAGATCCCCCCGGAGCTGAAAGGCCGCGTTTCCTTCGTTTCCTTCGCTCCAGCTTGCCGCCAGCGCTCACAGCAAGATGCCTGGGCAGGGCCAAGCCACTTCCCACCATCTGCGCTCCCTCCCTTTGGTAGCACAGGGCTGCAGTGGGGATGGGGACCAACGTGGCACCCAAATCCGAGGTGGGAGAGCAGTGCTGCTCCCTGTCTCTCCTGACTGTAACCCCTTTCTACCTGTGATCAATTTAATATGCTGCATCTCAGTAACCTGGGGAAATAAGCTGCTTTTGGTGAACACCATGGACACCCACCCACTGCCTGAAAACCCCATCCAGGTCCCGGCTTCGGAAGCCACATCAGGTTGCACACTCCTAGAAGGAAGAGCAGGATGTGTTTAGTCTTTGAAATGTTTTAATGCAGAAAGCATGTCTTTAAATCATAGCTTTGAGGGCCTGAGCTGCAGCACGGCACACACTGTTTCGCTGTCTGCATTCCAAGGAAACACCCAAAACTTCCAGTATGCTTCTTATTACCAGCCTAAAGTGTCAAATTCACATCGGCTCTTCCAGCTGGGAAGTGTTCAATGGGATTGTTTGTTTGATATGCTGATACAGATCTTGTTGCTACACTGGGATCGTAGGTGATCTGTCAATGTTTACATCATGTCATGTTCAATATCGGAGTGAACTGACTCGGAAACCCAATCCAGTGGTGAAACCCCTGTGCTGCTGACAAGAAGTGCTGAAGGTCAGTAGCTGCCATCGTTTTATAGTACTAAGGACTTGTTTCCATAAACATTGGCCTGCAAGCCAGTGACAGCACGGCTGGAAAGGCAGCGCAGCATCTCCAAGCCAGCAGCAGGTTTCATGCCCCAGAATTCACAGGTTGGGGTGATTAAGACTTCTCAGACAGATTCCTTGGGATAAGGTCTGGAGCTGTTTGAAGTCGATTAAAAAATCCACCCACTGGCTTCGTAAGGCTTTGAGTCAGTCCTTGGGTTAAGCTAGAAACCACCTTCCTCTTCTCTAAGGTATGAGCTATTGTTCACTTGACGACATTGGTTTCCTCTCCATGGCAGCTGTGGGCAGATGGGGAAGGGCTTTTAATGAAGCCAACCGCTGCAGAAATTAAAAAAGCTCAGGTTGTTCTGATGAAAGAAACCCATTAACAGTGATTCTCTCTTGCGTGACAAGGTCTGACGTCCCCAGCATTAAGTGACAAGCGGCAGGAAGTCCTGGGCAGACAGCCTGTACTGAAGAGGGTTGGCAGCCCAAGGTGGTGGTTTTTAACTCATTCGCCGTCTTGTTTCATGCAGTTTATTGCTGCCAGGTCCCACCCATGGAGATGGGGTGAGATACAACCTGGAGAGGGTCTAGGAGAGCTGAAATGGTCCTGATCCCACCGCAGCTCTCATCTGGGTTTTCACTCTTAAATGAGCCCCCCGTGTTTGTTGGGACTTACACTTGCATCAAGCTTTCTACTTTCTTTGTCTTGGGATGGTTTTGCAGAGGTTTTGTTGGTAACTGCTGGGTCTCCCCACAAACCAGCCCTTTCCAGAGGGTGCAGGCACAGAACTGCTGCTTACTTCAGGCTTAAACCCCCCTGGGCTGTGCCCACCTTCAGCAGCTTGGGGACCAGGGCAACCAAGTGCAGCTTGATGCAGCCACATGCAGCCTTCAGTCGAGTCGTGTGGCAGAACCATCTTAGAAACATTCCCAGCAGAGAGATCACTTGAGATCACTATTTAGGTTTTTCCCAGTTGCATGCAGGATGCTACTGCAGGATGGGGTTTCAGCTGAGACAGGGAATTTATTTCCCATTAAATTTATGTGGAAGTTGGTCTTTTAAGTCTTTTTGGCTTCTCTGCTATGCCCTGCTTGAGAAAACTGCCTGAAGGTACAACATAAACTGATTTTTCTTCTTCTGTGCTCAAACGTACACTGAAATAACCAAACTTGGACCAAAACAAGACACCTCAGTGCACACGCTTCCCCCTGGGGACAGGTGCTGAGTGACAGATACTGTTCCCATCTCCAAAGGCGCTCAGATAAGGCTGAGGTGCCTGGGGTCCAGGGATGCACAGAGATTAGAAGGGATTGTTTCTGATGTAGATTTGAGGTTTCCTTGGTTTACTTCACACAGCAGGGGAAATACAGTTTCAAAACAGTGCTGGGGTTTGCTCTCTGCTGGGAGTTCGCCCTTGCCGAGCTCTGCTCTCCGGTGTCAATATACGTTTCTGTTTGGAGTTTCACACACCCGGGAGCAGGGGGATTGCAGGGTTTGGGGGGTGGTGGGGTTTTCACCTCCATGTGGAGCTCCCAGAGGAGAGGCGAAGCCCCTCAGAAGCAGAAGCTGAGTGCGATTTGCTGTTGTGGTACCCGCGGAGCGGCACCATGGCAGGGAGCTGAGCTGGGAGCGCGAGATCCATCCGGAGCCGGTGCTCTGCTCCCACCCAGCGTCTCTGCAGACGGTCCGGCAGGACGAGCCAAGCAAAGGAGATCAAGAGATATAGCACAGAGCAGCTTGAAAGAGGGGGAAATCTGGGGACTTTCTGTGCCTTTGCTATAAACTGACACCAAGCTCCCGCTCCGCAGCTGCGAGGGGCAGGGAATGGGGGTGCCAGCAAGAGGAAGCTGCACTTTTTCTCTTTCAAATGCATCACTTTTCTTCTCAACAGCCACCGAGAGCTGAGCTTGACTCGGCTGGGCTGTGGGGCTGGATCTGATAAGGCCCAGCAGCTCTCAGAAGAGCTGCAGAGGGATTTCTTCCCAGCTCCTTGCCTATCTCCCCGGCGTGCCCGCACACCTCCAGTGCCCCGAGCCCTGCGCTCGATCACGCTGGGATAAGGCATTCGCCACCTTGGGAAGGTCCTTTCATGGCAGGTGCAAGGAGCTGGGGGTGTTGCTCGTCTGGTAAAGAGCAAGGAGAATGCAAGGTCTGAACCTGGCACCAGTGTAAAACCAAAGCAGCTCCGGCTTCTCTGGAGTCCCTCCAGCTTTGTGCGGGTGTAACTGAGACTGGAATCGGGCCCAGAGAGAGTGAAGCTGTTTGGCGATGATTAATATAGTAAAATGCAAGAGTTATGTATCAAGTGTATTTCATGCGCCTCTCGCCTCGGGACACTTAGCATAAATTTAATCATTATTGCCCTGTGCCAGCAGCTGCTACCTAAGGAGCTGGGAGTGCTTTACAAACGCTCATTAGCTGCTGCCCTGCCTGGGGAGGTGGGTGAATACTCTCCCCATTCGATGGGTAGGAAAAGAGGAACAGAGAGAAAGCAAAGTGAGGTGGCCACAGCCTGGTACTGGGCAGCTGCTTCATCCCTTCTGCGGCTCCTCCAGCCCTGCCTGGCTCTGACCCTGCATGGGCAGGGCTGGCGATGCGGCTGGAGCGAGATGAGAGTTTGTTCTTTGTGCACTGAGCAAATGCTGTAGAAAATACTTAAAACTCAGGGTTTCCTTTGCTGTTCCCCAGTCACCAGCCTGCCAGGAGATGGGGTTCCTCCTGCCTTGCTCCTTCCTTGCTCAGAGTGAGCAAGGGCTGGTGCGGGCACAGCACAGGGCATCCTGACCCTGGCGTGCACATCCTGCTCTTTGGTCAGATGCTGGCTCAATGGACCATCTGGGGCCTCTTTGGGTCAGTCCATGTCCCCTCTTCAGCAGGCTCTGTCTGTCCAAGCCACAGGGTCTTTCCTCACGTGTGCGCTGTGCACAGCCCCACGGAGCCGACCTGCACCGGGGCTGCCAAGCACTGCCCATGTGAATTAGAGCAAACCACGAGGGTGGAGGCTGTGCCGAGTGTGTAACCAGGGTGCTCCAGCCAAAGGGTAACTGATCAGATATCAGACTCTCTTATCATGTTCCAGGGCACAGACAAAAGCTAGAAGACCAAGCCAAACCCTTCACCGACCGCTACGGGGAGCTGGAACGGCTGCGCCAGTCCATGAGAGTCACCCCAACAACACCTAACCCCCGCGGATCCCTCAGCACCCCGAGCCACTTTGGGTCCCAGGCTCAAACTCCAATACAAGGTAACTGGCTGGGTGCCCCAGCCTGGCGTCGCACCCCAACCCCTTGTGCTTCCAACACTGCCAGCCAGGGAGCGGAGCCGTCCCAGCCGAGCACGCTTCCCTCCGGATGGTGTTTTAGGGTTGGAGTCCAGCTCTCCCCTGGGTAAGGAGCCCTGCCTGCCCGACAAGGGGTTTGCTTGGGTTTCTCGGCCGTAGAAGCCTTTTTGCACCCATTAAATGAGCAGATGGCTGCTGAACAGTAAACCCAGGTGTTTTGCTTTAGATACAGGGTCTTAGGGAAAACTGAGCAGTTTCAGGAGGAACACGAGGGAGATCATAGCAATGCACGCTGAATCCAGTAGCTTCTTTGACATGAAGGCGCCCGCGTAGACGGTTAAGCATCAACTAGAAAGGGTGTATTATACTTTACATGCTAATCCAAATGGTTTCTTATCTTGTTGCATTGTGTTTACGCCAAGTCTGGTGATCCATCACCCAGCTCCAGCATAATTCCCCACACGTATGCACACCTGCATGGGTGCACGCGTGCGCACACACACATACAACCTTTGCTCCTCCTGTATTTGCCATCAGCATAGCTGAGCCCTCGGGCGTTCCCCAGGCATCTGCATCAAAGCTTGGTGCCAGAGGTAGGAATTGCCACCAGTTACCCAAGAGAGGTCAGCCTGCTCCATCCCATGCACCCGAATCTCAGCCCCACACAGCATTGCACTGGAAATACCTGTCTGCCTCCCTGCTCCCAGCTTTCCGCTCAGCTCAGCACAGCCGCATGCTACCAGGGTGCATGAAGAGGCTGTTCTCCTGTCTGCACGTGGGAAGTCTTCCTTTTTTCATACATTTTAATCATCTTGGTGGTGTTCTCCTTTGAACATCAGCAGAAATATGAACAGGGGTTTTAGGGAAGTGTTTACGCTGCTTGTCCTTTGAGTTTGGGTGAGAAGTAGCCCTTGGAAGGTTTCATTTGAAAGCTTCCAAAAGCCTTTGTGTTGTGCTTTCAGGAGTGCTGCAGATGATTGAAACCCTCAGTATCGGGGTAAAGAGGGTGTCTCAGGTGCAAAAACATGTTGGAAAACGTTACCCGAATGGTAGAGCTGCCCCGCTCCTCCCAACTCCAAATTACAGTGAAATTTAATTTATTTCTCATTGAAATGCAAATCTCCATGCTTGGAATTTTCACTGATATTAGCACAGTTTGTGAGAAGAACCCGGGCACTGTGTGTAGGATTATCATTGGATTCTTGTTTTAAAAGGCAAGAGGGAGGGAGAGAAAGAGCTTCATAGGCTCATCTCGTTGGCTGTAATAAAGAGTTCTTGGGGGCAGGGAAAAGAAAAATGTGTGTATTTTAAATTAGCACAGTCCCCTGTAGTGCCAGAAACCCAAAGAGCATCGTTTGGAGCAAAGAATCAGGTGATGACACAAATGCAGCAGGACAAAAACTGAAACTGGCCACAGGCTGCCATCCCTGCCAAACTCCCAAATGTCAAGTGACAGCAGGAGTGGAGACACACAGAATTAGCCATCTAAAGTCATTCCTGCGGAGGGAAGCCAGAGTACCAGGAATGCTGCAGAAGGCAGTTCGTGCACGCTCTGCTCTTGGCTCCCTTGCTCCTGAGTTGGAGGAACTGTCTTAAAATTACTGTGGGTTCTTCCCAGCGTCACTGGGAGCAGGATCAGCTCGGTCATTTTAGTCTCAGCCCTGTCCTTTTGACACAGCGCTGACTACAACCAATATAATCACAATAATACTACAAACCCCCAAACTCTCTCTCGCACACACACGGCTTATTCACTGAGATCGTAATTTTTACCCAAGTAAGTGGAGCCTGGCCCGTGCCAAGAATAACACCGGAGTTAACAGGCCTGTAATTCTCACGACTTGGCACGTTCTTAGGTAACACACACGAGAAGCCGATTAGCAAAAAGCATAACGAGATACGGGCTAGGAGGAGCCAGCGGGGCAGGCTGAGGTTCATCCAGCACCGCTATCCTTTACACGGTGCTTCCCAGCCTCAGTGTTCCCCGTGCCGGGGGCCAGTGGACATGGAGGTTTTCCGTCCTCAGCGCCTGCCCGTGGCCTCCCGGTTCTGCTGACCAGGCACTTTACACAAACGCTTCCTAATCCGCTCCTGGCAAAGCCAAGATGCTCAGGAACAGCTTCAGCCACCGAGGGGGGGATTCAGGCACCTCAAATCCCTGAACGCAGCACATGGAGGTTGAGCTTCAAAGTTGATGGGGAGGCAGGAGACAGTGTTGGTCTTTGAAGTCCTCCGGAGCTGCATTTGCCCCGGCGCAGTCCAACCTTTGCTCCTGAGGCTGTGGCCACGGTGGAGATCACAGCAAGGACGTTGGTGTCGATGGGAGAAGGATCTGGCCCTCGGCCATTTGCAGAAGACTTTCAGTAAAGCAGCCCCGGAGGTTATAAATAGCCCCCGTGTAAAACGATCCTCTTGAGGTTAAATGGTCTCAAACCAGAAACCTCCCGGTAAGAGCAAACCGATCGTTTCTGAAGGGCATGCCAGGAAACACGGGAGGAGTGTGCTCAGCACCGAGCCCAGCGGGTCACATCCTGCTCTCGCCCTGGGTTCTGCTGCCCAGTGTCAATGTATTCAGTGGCTTCAGTCTTGCCCCTACCCCATGCAGACGGGCAGGGAATCGATCCCTTCCCCTGCCTGTCCCACAGGCAGCCCTCCTCACACCAGGATTCATTCCTGCTTTGGGGGAAACCAGGGCGCTTGTGAGTTCACCCTAGTGTAGGACAGGCAGCAGGACAGGCAGAGCCTCATCTCCCTTCAGCAGCGCGGCTTCCCTGGCCTCAGCAGAGCGGAGCCATTCGCCTCCGTTGAGGATTTGGCCTCATACTTCTCCAGTGAGGTCTGGAAAATGTGAGGTTTTGAAATGCCGGCTCTCCCGTCTCCGCAGCGAGACACCAAGCTGTCATTAGGATGTCTTGAAACGGTGCCTTATTACGGGGCATGCGAAGCCAGAGCCTTGCGTGCTTGCTTCATTCCGGGTTTTGTCTCCTAGCTTAAAAACAAATCAAGCAGCTCTCCGAAGTGAAGCAAGATGTTCAAGGGACTTGCTTTGTGCCTCTGCTGCTGCCATGAGGCAGTGGGGTGGTGACAGACGGGTTCCCCAAGGGGAACAGCCCCTGCAGCCCCCGGCTCTCTCCACGATGCTTTGCCCTTGTCCCAGCAGTGGGTCATGCTGGTCTGCTTTATCCCCATTGCGACAGAGGGGACTGCCCTGGCAGCAGCTCCTGTGCTCCAGCTTTGTGGTGGAAACATCTTCAACTGCTCAAAAGCAGTTGTGTGCATTGTCCAGCAATGTGTAGGGGCCTTGTGTGCACAAGGGCAACTGCAAAGTGATCTCAAACCTGATCTGCTCAGTAACAGAGCGAGCTGCTTTGATTAATGCACTTAGCATCCCCTTACATACCCTTCATACTGCTCCAGCAGAACCAAATTCCCTTGACTTCACAGGGAGAACAAACAGTAAATGCTGGATCCTTTTGCAAGCTCCATCCTGCCTCCCCCAGCCCTGTGTTTGCTGAGCGGTTTGGGAGATGCTGTCTTTGCTGGTGAAGAGCTTTCAGATCTGCTGAGCTGGAACCCAGTCCACCATAACCAGCTTGATTTCCAGTCCGCTACTTCAAACCAGTGCAATGTTTTTACCACAGGCCAGCCATCGGCAGAATGCCTCACCATGTGCATTTAAAGTAAAAGCTCTCTCTCTTTTTCTTTCTAAATGCACATTTTTAAAGTATTACATTACTTTTAAGAAGCCTCTTGGCATAGGCAGCCAGTGCCCTATTGTTTCCGAAATGCAACGTGGCTCCTCTGAGGTTAAGTCCTGAATTATGGGCCCGGCAAATACCCTGAATTGCTGCTTCCTAATCCCTGTCCAGATCGACTTATGGTTTCTTTAAAATATCCGTTTCTTAATGGATAAAAACATTCTACCATGGGCAGAGACTAAATTGTTTCCAAAGGAAGCTAGGCAAGCATTAGTGGGAAGAAAACATACTGTGGGATTCAGCTTCAGCCTCAGAGGAAGGAGCGCGCTTAAGATGGGTTTCCTGCCTGCTTTCAGGCTTCTGTGCCTATCTTTAAACTGCCTCTCTGCTCCTCTCAATTACTTTTGCCCGCTGCGCAGTGAACGTCCCTTAGATGAGTGTGGTGTGTAACCGTCAAAGAGGAACCACGGGCCAGGGCTGGACTGGAGCATCCCCCTGGGGAGAGCCCAAGTACCCGCAGCCGCTGCCCTGCTGCTGATGTGCAGCCACCTCCGTGTCCCAGCCGCAGCTCAAGGGCTGCAGCTCCTGTGAAACAGCAGGAGAGTGGAGCAGCACAAGAGGCCCAGCCCCGCTCCAGGGATCCTGTCCTGCCTTTGACACGGGGTTTTGGATGTGCTGGGATCCTCACTGCTAGCCTGGGGTCTGCTGCAGGAGGGCACTGCCTGCGTTTGAACCCCATCTTCTATTGCCCCATCAGCCTCTGCGATCAGCCACCGCTCCGCAGTGGGTTTCCCATGGCAGACTTGGCCTGGTCCAAACCTGCTCAGCAGGCAAGGTGGTCTAGCTGCAGGCTGGGTTGTAAATTCAGCAACTTCCTTTTATGTAGTCAGGGCTTGTTAATTTTGTTAATACCCTTTGAATGCAGGTAAAGAGCAAAGCGCAGGCAGGCCAGAGGCAGTGCCTGCCATCCAGGGCGCGTTTCCCGTCCAGCCCACCCACCCGCTCCAGTTAGCACCGTTAGCTTATTCATGAGCTGTGCGGGATGGATTGGCCGGGATTGGCTGATGCGGCCTCGGGATGCCGAGGGGAAGAGAGGAGCTACTGCGGGAGAGGAAACGGGGCGAGCCCGGCTTGTTTAGTCTAGCGAAGGCAGGCTGGGAGCGAGCTGATTGCTCTGTGTAAATACATCCAGGGGGTAAACAGCAGGGAGAGGAGCTAATGTAAGCTATGGAGGACAGTGCTGGCACAGGAGATGGGGCTGAACTG